AGATATTCTACCTATAAACATCAACGGTTCATGCAATTTTTAGGATATTGACACTGTATAACAAGTAAATGTGTCATAGTATGACTCCAGGCTTCCTCATTCTCTGGAAAGTTGGTATCAATTACTTGTTTGAAAGTACATAAGCTATAGGAAATTGAATTAATTAAAATTGCATTTTGGATTGGATTTTAATCCTTGAATTGGATTAAAAGTAAATTGTGTATTTTTGAATGTGCAAGAGATGAGGCATCCTCAACAGCAGGTAACAATTTAGAGAACGAGAAAACAAGCTCAAAGAGAAGGTCAGTCCTGAACCACTTGTAGCCTATGAGGCAAAAATAAGCCTTTTTCAAAGGATTTCCCCATCCTAGGAAATAACCATTTCCTATGGCTCCAGAGATACTGGAGTGCTTAAGAATTTAGTAGTGTAAAAGAAAAGACAAAAAAAAACAAAAAAAGAACCATGTACAGTAGTGTGAATGTCATGTCAAGCAATCTGATGATCTCTCCAAAGCTGGGTGAGTCCCCAGGCAGGTGGACCTCAGTGGCAAGCTGGGGGCCACTTGTCTATCCTCCTCTCCTGAGGACATCCAATTCAATGTCATAAATATGTAATGAGTACTCTGTGCAGTGGCCCAGCATTCTCATTGCAAGACAGATAGACATGAGTGTGACGCTAGCCTTGCATTTAGGAAAATTATTCTTCTATGCTACACACTAAGTTACTTACTGAACTGGAACCTCATCCCTACCCCAGTCTACAAGGCTTTCTCACTAAATTTCAGACTTCAGTCACTTGATTCAGCAACCTTGTTGAACTGCCAAGATCTGTGCTAGGTACTAGAGACAAAAATGAATATAATATAGTATTTATCTTTTTTTTTTTTTTTTGAGACAGAATCTCACTCTGTCACCCAGGCTGGAGTGCAGCGGTACTATCTCGGCTCACGGCAACCTCTGCCTCCCGGGCTTAAGCGATCCTCCTAACTCGGTCTCCCCACTAGCTGAGACAACAGGGTGTATGTCACTATACTTGGCTAATTTTTGTATTTGTTTGGTAGAGACAGAGTTTCACCATTTGCCCAGGCTGGTGTCTTTATCTTTAAAGATTTTATACTGTACTGAGAGAGACAGAACGGACAAACATAGCAAAAACGAACATGTGACAGTGGTTATTTCTTAACCCTTCAGAACAACTAGTCTAGTGGGGATTTTGATCTCTAGAAGAAAACAAAGGTTACAGGCATGGGTCATGGATTAGGTCCCCAGGAAGGAGGCAGGCAGGGCAAAGAATTTGGAAAGGGAGCATGTAGGAGATGTTCACTGTTGGCCCCACAGGCAATTCCTCTCCATCTCCCTGCCAGTAGGCTGAGGCTCCTTGATCACAGGGAAGGAAGCAAGAACCCAAGCCTACCTTTCAAGGTATGAGTCATGATCATTCTAACTCAATAGGAAATCCACTTATCTTAGCCATAGATTGGTCTTGGGGTGGACACAGTTCTGGCCAATGATTCATAAGGGGAAGTCCGTAGGGGGCCTTCATGTGTAGAATAAAAAGATACAATCTCTCTAAGGAGAGAGCTTGAGAGATTTGGTACCTCCCTTCCTGTGGCAGTTCTTTGAGAACACAGGGCCCTGGAGTTGGACCAGCCATCTTATACCCATGAGGTACTAACCTGAGGCTGAAGCATCAGCACAAGGTTTCAGAGAAGAAGAATATAAAGCAAGCGTGTCTAATTCATGGACCAAGACAGCTTCGAATGTGGCCCAACACCAATTTGCAAACTTTCTTAAAACATTATGAGGTTTGGTGATTTTTTTTTTTTTACCTCATCAGCTATTGTTAGTGTTCATGTATTTTATGTGTGGCCCAAGACAATTCTTCCTTCAGTGGGGCCCAGGGAAGCCAAGGATTGGATACTCATTATATAAAGTGTCTGGGTCCCAGCCGAAATTGTTGAACCACCAAAAGACCCTGGTACTGCCTACCTCTAAACCGCTTTGTAAGTTGATGAACATCTTCAGAAATAAAGTTAGTGTTCATCAAGGGTTCTGTTACCTGCAGCCCAAAGCATCCTAACTCTAGAAGTGTAGAAAAAGTCAAGGAGCTCCCATGATGTGCCAGGATTCTACTAGTAGCCTAAGATAGCAAGGTAAATACGTTATTATCTGTGCTGTCATAAACCAGCCATTACCACATAATGCTAAGAAAGATGTGTGAGCTCACAGTGGCGGGGACAGAGCATTATGAAGGAGAGACTTCCTGAGGGTAAGATCTGAGCAGGGGCTGCTGGAAGGCTGAGGGGATGAGGGAGAGCTGGAGAAAGAGGTGAGCAGAGCTACTGCATGCCGGCCGCATGCACTTTCAGGCAGGCTCAAAGGCTGCTCTACTGACAACCCTCTGAGGCCTCCCATAGAGCCTCCTCCTGAAAACTTCACCCCAAGGCCTCCCCATCACAGTCCTCTCTCCAGAGGTGGTGGAATTGATAAGGATAGCCAAAGGACCTGAGAGGTATTGCTCTAATAAAGTTCACCCTGGGGTGAAGAAAGATACACTTATAGAAACCCCTTCAGGCAGCAGACAATGCTCCCGTAGGGCTGGACTCTCTCCAACCCTACACCTCAGGAGGCTTCTCTCTCTGGATCATCTTCTCTTGGTTCCTGCAGGTAAAAAGTCCAAGAACCCTGAAGAAGAACACATGCTGGCAAGTGCTACCACCAGAGGGAAATGAAAATGATACACAACAATCCATTACATCCAAGCAGTGGAAACGATGCACCTGAATCAGTGTCTCCCCTGATGCTTAACTAATGCTCACAAGAATTCTATAAGTTGGCAATGTTATTATTCCCATTTTACAGATGGGTAAACAGAGGCTCGGATAATTTCAGTAATTGTCTCAAGGTCACATAGCCTGTAAGTAACTATGCAAATGGAGATTTGTTCATAGGTCTAATTCCAGAGTTTTGCTTTTTACCACTATGAAATCTTATCTCACAAAAACGGTAGAGTTCATTCCCATGGAATTTGTTGGCCGGCAGTCAAGAAAATGGGTACAAAAGTCTGTTCAGAAGCAATTTAAATCTATTATCTCTTAAATTCAACAAAAATTTACCGAGGGTTTGCTCTGGAGTAGGCACTGGGTTACAGAAATGTGCTCAGCAAGGCCCCTCCTCATGGCTTCAGAAGAACAAACAACCTCATATTCTAGACAGTCCTAACTTGAATCAATATGATATCAGACATCAGCTGACAACTACATGATTCAATCATTCATCTAGAGGCAAAATATCTGAAAAATTGAAAACTTCAATTCTTCATGAGTGGCGAAGCACAAATGGAGTCTGAAAAAGTCAATCCATCATTCATATGGTTGCAAAACTCCTCAAGCTTGATGCCATGAGGGCCCTACATAGAAATGAATGTGATGTCCTTCACCTCCTTTCTGCTGGCTGTTAAGGGCTTGGTCTTGCTTGATCTCACCTCCTCAGAGAAGGAGGAGCTGTGATGAACTCAACTTGTGGTTCCCAATTCCCCATCCTCTACCTGTTTTCCCCCCAGCTGCGGCTGCATAAGCTGCTTCAACACCTCCCAGAAACCTTTTGTGCTATTGTTGATCCTCCATTCAAATCTTTGGCAGTCAAGGAGCTAGGGAATTAGGTGCCGCCTTGTTTGCAGGCTTCAGGCTGGCTAAGTATACAGGGATTTCGCTCTTTAATCTCATCGGCAGGGGAGGCAGATTTTCCAGTATAAAACAACAACAGCCTTGTACATGCTCCCATGTCGAGTCTAGGAGAAATACTTTAAAACCCAAAGGATTATAAGTCATGCTGCTATAAAGACATATGCACACATATGTTTATTGCGGCACTATTCACAATAGCAAAGACTTGGAATCAACCCAAATGTCCATCAGTAACAGACTGGATTAAGAAAATATGGCACATACACACCATGGAATACTATGCAGCCATAAAAAAGGATGAGTTCGTGTCCTTTGTAGGGACATGGATGCAGCTGGAAACCATCATTCTCAGCAAACTATCGCAAGAACAGAAAACCAAATACCGCATGTTCTCACTCGTAGGTGGGAATTGAACACTGAGATCACTTGGACACAGGAAGGGGAGCATCACACACCGGGTCCTATTGTGGGGAGGGGGTAGGGGGGAGGGATAGCATTAGGAGATATACCTAATGTAAATGACGACTTAATGGGTGCAGCACACCAACATGGCACATGTATACATATGTAACAAACCTGGACGTTGTGCACATGTACCCTAGAACTTAAAAGTATAATAAAAAAATATGTAAAATAATCATAATGCTAGCATTTACTGAGACTTGGTCTTATTATAACTCCACTTCCTTTTTTCAAGACACAATCCCCAGACAAAGCATCTGGTTTTTGTCATTTTCAAAAATATGACTTGCTCTTTTTTTAATATTGATTTTATTTTTTTACCATTCATTCACAAAATATGTATTGACCACATACTGCATACAGCACACGTTTGAACGTGTGTTTCCTCTTGTTGATTCTCCTCTCTGCCCCCACCTCTCTCTCTCTCTCTCTCTCTCTCTGCTCACTCCTTGCCTTTGTCTCTTAGGGAAGTGGAAGTATTGATAAATGATCAGTTTGAGAGTAAAGCCTCTAGGAGAACTCAGTAAGACTGGCCTGAGGCCTGGCCTGGTTAACACACTTACTGTTGACTTAAGCACTGACATTGAAAAGGTACGCAAATTCTCAGTTGAAGCAAAGCGTTTAGAAAGATGTTTCGATGGTAATGCCTGAGTTCAAGACTATCTTAAACTTCTGTTTAAGTGAAGCAATGTATTTAAAAAAAAAAAAAAAAAAAAATTTCATCAACCTTGTAAAAGAACCTTGAAGGAAATGACTTGGAGCTAAAGGACTTTACTCCAGGACCTGCTGTATGTAGCTTCTCTTAAAATCACAGTTTCCATGAACCTATCTATGACATTAGTGAGGACTTACTGTACTCAGTTTCAAATATTGTTTCCAGCGCAGCTACGATGAAATAACCGGGAAGGTTCTTTTTCTTACGGTTTTTCTTTAGTCCTTTATTCATTACAGCTGCTACCAGGCGGCCAGGGACGGCACTGAGAGGTGACAACGTGTTAGCAGCCCTCGCTGGCTCTCGGCGCCTCCTCCGCCTCGGCGTCCGCTCTGGCCCCGCTCACGGCGCCCTTCAGCCCGCGGCTGCGCCGTGGGGGCCCCTCTCTGCGGCTGGCCGAGGCCTGAGCCGGCTCCCTCTGCTGGCGGGGAGGTGTGGAGGGAGAGGTGCGGGCGGGAGCCAGGGGCTGCGCGGGGCGCTGGCGGACTGACGCGGGTTCCCGGGCTGCGCGGCTCGGCGGGTCCCCGCACTGGGCGCCACAGGCCTGCACCTGCTGGGCTTGATCGGAGGCCGGGTCCCCTGCCTGGACCACCGTTCCCTCTTCCAGGGTCATTGGCTACGATGGCAGGTCTCTGTCTCTTTCTCGCTTCCCCTCTTTTCTCTTGGTTGTCTGGGACAAGCTCCCTCTGGGTTGCCAGAGTGCCTGGCCTAGGTGCCACAAAGTCCTCAGGGAGTGCCAGTGAGAAGTGAAGCCAGCTGGGCTTCTGGGACCAGTGGGGACTCGGAGACTTTTCTGTCTAGCTACAGGATTGTAAATTCACCAATCCGCACTTTGTGTCCAGCTAAAGGATTGTAAACCCACCAGTCAGCACTCTGTGTCTAGCTAAAGGTTTGTAAATGCACCAATCAGCACTCTGTCAAAACGGACCAATCAACTCTCTGTAAAACGGACCAATCTGCTCTCTGTAAAATGGAACAATCCGCAGGATGTGGGTGGGGCCAGATAAGGGAATAAAAGTAGGTCACCCAATCCAGCAGCAAACCTGCTTGGGTCGCCTTCCATCCTGTGGAAGTTTTGTTCTTTTGTTGTTTGCGAAGAATCTTGCTGCTGCTCATTCTGGCACCGCCTTTATGAGGTGTAATAGTCACTGCAAGTCTGCAACTTCACTCTTGAAGCCAGCAAGACCACAAGCCCACCTGGAGGGATGAGCAACTCCAGATGCACCACCTTTATGAATTGTACTGCTTACCATGAAGGTCTGCAGCTTCACTCCTGAGGCCAGCGAGACCACGAACCCACCGGAAGTAAAATCTCTAGATTCACCGCCTTTAAGACCTGTAACATTCACCGCAAAGGTGTGCAGCTTCACTCCTGAAGTCGGTGAGACCACTAACCCACCGGAAGAAAGAAATTCCGGACACATCTGAACATCTGAAGGAACAAACTCTGGACACACCATCTTTAAGAACTGTAACACTCACTGCGAGGGTCCATGGCTTCATTTTTGAAGTCAGCGAGACCAATAACCCACCTCCGGACACAGCACCAGAGTTTTGTGACCTCTGACCAAATTCCAGAGGGAGATAAGACCTCCAAACTGGCACACAGTGGAACAGAAGGCTCCCCAGATGGCTTTAGATTGTTAACATATCACTATAATCCCAACATTTCCTCCCAAAGAGAAAATCTCTGCCATTTTACCTGGGTTGTATGAGGATATATGTTCATGAATTGAGTCTATATGTCTGGAGTGCCGCCCTGCACATACTAACATTCCTCTCCCACCCCATACCCAGTCCTTAAAGACCTTATGCCTTCTGTTGTTTGGTAGAGGGTGTAGTTAGAGCTCACCTTCTTCATTCCTGGTCAGGAATAAAACCTACTTACTTTGTTCCCAATTGGGTGTTCTTTCTTTGCAACTAATAGAAAGTAAGGAAAGAACTCAAGTTACCAGTGACAATAGCAGTTTCCCGAAGGTAAAATGGGAATCTTGTTATTAAGATTGAAAACGCACTTATAGGTTAAATTGTGTGTGTGTGTTGCACTGGTTTTTTTGTTTTTTGTTTTTTGTTTTTTTTAATTTCATGGAGTCCTAGAGTTAAAAGGGAACTCCAATGTCATCAAGTCTTTATTGAACATATGTGAGGGTCTACTCATTGTGCTATGCTGGTGAACAGAATAACAACCTGCCAAAGGTGTTCACATCCTAATCCCAGAGGCTGTGAATATGTTATATTAAATGGCAAGGGGTAATTAATGTTGCAAGTGAAAATAAGGTTGATAATTCGCTGACCTTAAACAAAAAGATTGTCCTGGATTATCTGGATGAGACCAGTGTACACAGGGCCCTTTAAATGTGGAAGAAGGAGGTAGAAGGCCAGAGCCTGAGAGAGATTTGAAGATTTTACACTCCTGGCTTTCAAGTTGGAGAAAGAGGTCATCAGTCAACGAATACAGACAGGTGGCAGCTGATGACCATAAAAGGCAAGGAAATAGATTCTCTCATGGAACCTCCGGAAGGAATGCAGCCCTGCTGACAACTGGATTTTAGCCAACTAAGGCCCATTTTGGACTTCTGACCTCCAGAAATGTAAGATAATAAATTTGTGTTGTTTTAAACCACTAATTTTATGGTGATTTGTTAGAGCAGCAAAACAAACTGATGCAAGTAGGTTCATTTAGGTGCATTTGCTTTCTGATTTGATCTTTACTATGAGTCAGGGATTTATCTCCATTTTATAGACGAGAAAGTTGAAGCTCAGAGAAGCTAAATGATGTGCCCAAGACCATATGGCTAGTCAGTGACAGAGTAGAATTCAAAACCTAAGTCTGTCTCACTTGGATTCCAAGATTGTTCCTACACCCTGTGATGTATGTCAGTGGCTGACTCACTCCAGAGTCCTCTCACTAGTCCCAAAGACAATATAGGAAGGGGTAACTTTTTAAAATAAAATTCAAATCGAAAATGAAGAGAGAAATGAGAAGAGGAGAGGAAAGGAGAGATAAAAGTGCACTGCAGATGCTGTGGGCAAGCATTTTATAAAGCTTTTGTTTTAGGTATGTTTTAGATGGATGTCTGTGCATGATGTAAAATTTGTGTCTTATTGTAGTTTGAAGTAAAAAATATCTAACGCACACTGAAGTACGACACATCCACTGGAGAGAAAGGGAAAATATGATACAATTTCTTTCTTCAAGAATATTCACAATCTGAAGAGAAACATAAGCAAATCACTGGAAAGCAATTCAATATGGCTAGGTCAGTGACAATGTGCCAGCAAGTCACAGTCAGTGGACAGGCTCACAGCATCCTGATTACCAACTGAAGGTCCATGGGGGCCCGTCAAAAACTCACAAACATGCACAGCACAGGATTTATTACTTCACCACAAAACAACTTCTCATCTGGAGCCTGCAGTTGTTGTTAACAGCATCACTTCCACTTGTTTGTTCAAAACAGAAACAACATAATATTATGTTCCTTTCATCTCTTCTTTCACCAAGACCAGTAGATTCTGCCTCCTAAATCCCTAAATCATCTTTTTCCTTCCAATTATTGCCACAGCCTTGAGACGACTCCCCACCCCCACACACACACTCATTCATCCGGGCAACTGCAACATCCTTCCAGGCATCCTCCCTGACCCCAGTCTCTCCTACTCCAGTCCATGCTGCAGTCTACGGCCACAGATGTGATGTCTGGTGTCTCTCCCCTCCTTGCAGCCCTTCCTGGCTTCTCCCTTGCAGGTTGTGTAAGTTCAACACCAAAACCCCAGAAATCCTAATTTCCAACCGCCTCCCATTATACACAGACTCCACCACCTTCCTCCACTAAACTGCTTGAAATTTCCTGCATGGACCATTTTCATTCCTTGCAAACTTTGCATATACTGCTTTCTCTCCTTAGAATGGTACACTTCCCACTTTCCATCTAGGAAACCCTCCATCTAGCAAAGATAGAAATGTAACTTTCCTGACTCCCTTAGGCAAAAAAAAAAAAAAAAAAATTGTGTCCCCTGATCTCTCATGTTTCTTTTACAACACTAATCCAAATGTATCCTATTTCCTTTTCCAGTGGTTCCAGGACAATAGTCACATCACAGCTATATTTTTACTCCAATACCTAATCCAGGCATGAGGGCAAGATGGGTGTTTCTAAAGAATAAGTAGCTGATCATTGGGAGGCCAAATCCGAAAGGCCAGGCCTTGATCTCCATCTGCCTCATCAGCGTTTCCTTCTGGAGGTCTCCCATGCACCACAATCTAACTTGTCCAGAGGTGGACTCTCGGTTCTCCTTATACACCTGATCCTTGTCAAGAGGGCTGCACCTTAGTAAATGCAACCACTTGAGCCAGAAATTTGGTCAAGCTCCCAAACACTCTCATCAGCCCAGTTCAAGCCATCATTCATCTTACCTCCCACACAGATTTGCCTTCATTTTCAGCTTCACCTCCTTAGCCCAGCCACTGTCATCACCTGACTGTGCTGCTGCAATGGCTTTTACGCTATTCCCACCACCTCCCCATTTGCCCAGCCGCACTCTAATCCATTCTGCATGGAGCAGCCAGTGAGAGAGAAAAACAGAGAGAGAGATCCAATCATGTCACTCCCCTACTTAAAATCTTTCAGTGACTCTAAACCTCAAGATAAAGTCCATTTTTTATTTTTAATTTGTTTTTTATGACACAACAAAGCCCTGTTCAGCCTGACTCCTGCCTAATTCTCCAGGAACTCCTCGCTTGTCCACCACATAGCTTTTCTCATGACTCTCTAAGCACTTTCCACCTGGGGGCCCTCCTGAAGCTTCCCTCTACCTAGAACATGAATGATGACCAGGGGCAATTCTATCACAGAGGTCGCCATTCTTGCCTAAGCTTAACTGACACTTCCCCTCAAAGCACCATGTAATTTTCCTTTTTGACACTGAGCAAATTTTCCATTTTACATTTTATTTACAAGCATGTTGGGTGAATGTCTCTGTACTAGACTCTAAGCTTGTTAAAGGCAGGGACCCCGTCTGTCTATCTAGTTCCTTCCTACCTCCCCAGCTACTCGCCTGTCACACTGTAATTATGGGCTCACCAAACTTTGGATGGATGGAGGAATTTAATTAGTGATGATGATTATTCTGCAGAGCATCAGTCTCCCAGAAAAATACCTGAGGCCCTAGTTGGGGCCAGAGGGGAGCAGGGCAGGTAGGTTTGAGCCTCAATGCCTTGCTTTGTCCAAAGAAGTTCTGCATGGGTCTTATTTAGATGCTGGGTCTCCGCAGAAAAGTTTATTTTGAAAATAAACATTCTACTTGTAAAATGTGTAAGAATAAATATAAAAAATGGGAACCCAGAGGAAAGAGGTTGATTACAAAGGG